CCCTGCTGGCACACCTTTTTCGCTACTACTCCTCTCACCTTTCTTCCACTCGACGTCGGTTCAAGATTCACGACAGTATGCATCGTGTCCACAGTTTTGAGCCGACGTCCAACAGAATTATTGGAGTGGATAATTTCTTTCATTGCACATCCTGACGAGGGCAACTACTACATGCCAACTCTCGACCAACTGCGTCGTGGGTGTCAAGTCGTTGCATGTCCTGCTGTTCGTCGTCCGCGATGAAATCGATAATCCACTCCCACAATTCCGTCGGAAGTCGGCTCGAAACCACGGAGCAAATGTCACATAGTTGACCAAACATCCGCTCTGTGATGGAAGCTGCTTCCATCCCCAGAACGACCGACCTACATTGCCGCCTGTCCTGCATCCAGCAAATCCACATGCAGCAAAGGGAAGCTACTCACCTCCAACTGTAGCAACATCCTCCAATTCATCTCTGTCTGCCACGGAATGGATGTCTTCTGGGCTACACGCTATAGCGACGTCCATAGGGAGAGTTGCCATGACTGGGAAGTGGGTGGACAAGATGTACAACCTCACTCCCTCGACCCTGATAAGCTATTATAGCCGTCGTTGCAGGCCGTGCGCTCACAGCCCCCACAGCAACTTTGTGGTTCCATACCGCGTGTTAGGACGACATGCTCATCGAACTTTATCATACTGAACCTAATTCCATGCCACGATGAATCCATGCACTCACATGACCAGATGCACAGAAAATGAGACCAGAGCCGCCCAGTCACAATCGCCTCAACACCGAGCATTATCTGGCTAGTAGAAGACGAGGAGACGTTCTCGGCCACTCGCGATGAATTGCGATTCACGATGGTGCGTACGCAGCACGCCCCTCAGCGCGGACCCAACCGAAGGTGCGTATTCCTATACATGCCAAGGACTGGCTGGCGCTAGCTGCTTCTGCCCGGCACGATTCCTGCCCACAACTGATTCTGTCCAACCAGCTTCCAGGGTTCTGGGGGTATCTCGGTGCGATATGCGAGTACAGGAGTGTGCATTACATCGCCGTATGAATGCTTCACAGACCCAAAGAAGATAGAGGAATGTCTTCTTGCCAGAGTGATATCATGCATATTACGTTGACACCATCTCACAGCATCTACGGCGCGAGGGAGCATCGTGAGGCAGTGTTTGAGTACGCAGGATAGACATCAAATCCACTTATTATCTATACTGTGTCGGTGCACCGAGGAGGGGACCGGCATTTCTTATGATGTTGCGTTCGTTAGCGTCAGAACAATGTTATCATCAACTTGCGCGTAATCTAAAGAAAGCGCTTACCTTTCCTGTGGTTTGGCGACTGCTAGGCGTTTCAGAAATGCGGGAGCTTTGTTTGGCGCATTGAGTAGCCCTGGCTGCCTAGCACACCTGAACAAACACTCGCCGAATCCAGTGACCTGTAGGTCTCCAATGCTGTCAGACAGGACTGTTGGTCTAGATGAATGTATGCTCAAGTCAACACATTAGCTCACACCAATCTTTGGCAGGTCATATGTGCTCTCCTGGAATATCCTATGCAGTAGACGCTGTAACACTGACTCGTTAGTTGTTGTAGTAATAGAAGACAAGTACTCACCTCATTGCAAATCCTCAGCCTCACCAATAGCCATAGCAGCATCGACCACGCTTGCTACCACCTCCCTCAATGGTCAACACATACGATTAGAGTGCCCAAGCCTACATGTCCAGAAAGCATCACCATAGTGGTCAGGAAGGTGCCCACATCACAATTCCAGAGCTCAGGAGGTTATTAGTCGGCTAGAGCTCAACGTGCAACTTTTCGAGCAGTCTTGCGTCCAATGGGTTGGGTGTGTTTCTGAAAAGTGCCGGCAGGACGCGTCGGCGCGAGCGGAAGAGTACGAAGGAAATGGGCCTGCGTAAAGAAGTCGCTGTCTACAAAAGGAGAGACTGAGCGACTCAAAAGACGATGCAGAGGCTTTGGAGACCTTGTGTGACGCGAGAGGGCGACGCCTGAGTCGGCCCGACCGCCCTGTCATTTCCTTTAACACTGAGCGTGGAATCAGGGTGCTGGGCGGTGAACATTCCATGGAAGAGTACTCCCCGCACGTCTGCGTTCCCGGTGCCCTCATCGCCCAATGGACAGCAAGTGTCTTCGTCTCCAGTATAGACCGGGATAGCCTGAACAGTTCCATCTCACAACAACCTCACCTGGGAGGCACATTTTTTCGTGCGACGTCCAAGGTGCACCGGTCAGAAAGTACTTCAATTCTGGACCCACTCGGCTCCCTGTTACGCTCGCCATCAATCATCCTCCGAGGACAGGTGTTAAGGTCTAAGCTTAAGAAATGAAGCTCTGGAAGTGCAGTAGCTGATGGGAATGATGACAAAACAAGCATTTCGCATGGAACTAGGACACGGCAATCACCTTCCGTGGAGGGACTGAGGCGTAAGCTAAGCCGAGACACTGCAAGAAAAACGTGCACTACGGCGGAGGAGTCGAGGAGTCACACGAGTGTCTCAAGTTCGGCAATGACAGCAATCGTGCCGGCAATGACAGCAGTGACGTTGACAAAGTTCAAGAGGAGAGCAGCGGACGAGCAGGTACAAAGCTGTCCGGACACGATGTTGAACAGTCCAGGGTCGATGACCTTATGGCAGGGAACTCTGCGGGCGAAGAGCCGTGTGTTTACGCCAGTCAGAGCGGTAAAGGAGACGGAGAGGGATACTGAGGAAGGAGGGGAAAGGGACGACAAGAAAGCTCAAATCACAAAGAAAGAGACTCGGGAATGTGACGAGATGAGATAGACGTTACACTATGTTCCGATAACATATTGACAAGAGATGGAAAGCTACGTATCATGTAGTTCCAGAATAACACAGCTGAGTGGTCTGCACGAGGTGTGTCCGGTGTGGCTTATACAAGTAAAAGCAACTCCATGTACATGGAACTTCTAGGTGGGTTTGACATGTGATCTCGAGCCCTATGGATGATAAAGGTAGTTAGATACTACACGACGCAATTTTGAACCAACATTGTGGGGGCAGATAGATAAAAGAGTGGTAGCAAGAAGCCGGGAGTTACTGGATAGGGCATAGGAGAGGTGCGCTGGTAGGTGATACGGGTCAATAACAACGTAAGCCTCGAGCCTGAGACCCAAGTTCTGCGACATCGAGACCTCGGATAGGCGCACGAGTCATTCAATGAGAAACCGAAATGAAAATACCATTGATGGGAAGCACGGCGACTTACAAGAGGCAACCACTGGCATGCAGTGCTGGAAGCCTTGATGAGAGCAGTATGAGCCAGGAGCCCTCGGATATGACGTCCATCGCCTCGATGGAAGACGAGACAGTACAACAAAGGGTACAGGTGACTTTCTGGAGGGCAGGAAACTGCTTTACGGAGAGGATGCGGTCGACGCTATTCAATGCGTCGTCGACATTGACAGGTGTTTCCCGATGGAATAGCCACGATCCAATGGCAACCTCGACCAGGCTGGAAAGAGATCCATAAAATGGCTGCCTTGGCGATGTCTTCGAGATCGCCTGCCAACGCCAGGACACGCAAGTTGACAGCGGTCGTGAGATCGAGCGAAGCTGAGGGAACATCGTCAACAGACACGCGATGACGTCACCTCTACCACGCACCTTTGTGAATAAACGAAACCTCGAGGGACAAGAGCGACTCGGCGGACACTACGAGCAGCTCTGGATGCCTCTCCATGTCATATCCGTCGCAGGTGAGATGACGAAGGTGCGCACCGATCAACACAAGGAAGTCAAACATGTCGTCGCTGCCAACTAGATC